GAATATCCCAGAGCAAGGGGTCAAACAGATCAGCTAGGGACCAAAATGAGTAGAAATGATTTTTTTTTGAGCTTTTGTTATAATGGTGATTTTGCAGTGGCATGAAACTTTGGAGTTCCAGTAGCCATGACTCTTCCAGCTGGCTCTGGCTGGCTCTTGCACAGCTGCTGCCCATTTGGGGAAAGTCATATGCCTGTACTGTTGGAAAATAGAGGGATTGTGCCTGTGTACTTAGGTCACTTTGCCCTTTCGGGCTTAGCAGCATCAGCAGAAGGTCATATAATGATCAGCTGACACTCAGAGCAGCTTATGGATATAACCTTAGGTGAGAAAATTTCTCATTCACACAGACTGGGATGTATACCTCTTAGCAGTGTTGTGTTTAGGCCATGGGGAATCAGGGCAAAGGGGAGACCTGTCCCCAGAGAGAACCTCTCTGTCCTCATTTCCAGGAATGACTATCGAGAGCAGAGCAGCTACTTTCACTATCAGGAGGGAAGAAAGCCAAAGGAAGCCTGAAGTCACCAAGTACCAGGACATCCAGGGATTTAAAATAGCTGTTTGAGAAAATCTATATAGAGCTTAAAAGCAAGTTGTAATAGAACCTTACCCAATAGAAGCAGGCACCTGCCAAGCATTTTTTGCTCATTCCTATTGCTTGTTTCCCAGCATTGCTTCCTCAGATTTAATTTTTCCCTTATAAGCCCCTCACTCTCTGGATGATTTACTCCTCTTTTAGATGTAACCATTATGCACAGTTCATAAGTAGAAATGCACTTTTCCTTAGTGCCCCTGATAGTATCCACCTCCTCTCTACAAGTCCCACACGTGTTCATCAACTTGCCCTTCACTCTCCCATTGTCTCTATCTCAACTTTTTTCTTTTTTTCTCTACTGTGTCTCCCTCTCCCAAACACAGTGCAGAATTGGAAAAGATGCTCTCTTTTATCTCTTTTCAAAGCATTCTGCCAAATCTATAATAACCATCAGTGGTGTAGATTTGAATTTAATGCATTAAGTCTGGCCTAAAGATGAAAGGAGGCTGGAATAAGGGGCCCAGCCATACACAAATTAATCTAGTTACATACATGTGAGCATATGCACATACAGAGAGAGAGAGAGAGAGAGCATCTGGAAATACATGTAGCCAAATATTAATAGTTACTCATTTGGGCATTACATCTGGTCACTTCTACGTGTGGATGTTTCTGGAAGCCTTGGACTTTGCAGGAACATCTTATCTCAGGCCTTAGTCTTTTCTTTTTCCAATTTATTGCTCATCTAGTCATCAATTATTCTTGTAGAACAAAATTCTGATCTTACCTCTCTCCTGCTTAACCACATCCAATAGTTTGTCCATTGTCTGGATAGTTAATATTCCTAAGCACTGAATGTATTTTTTCCATGTCCCTTCACCCCCAATTAAGTTTTGTTTTGTTTTGTTTTTGCCAGCTCTTTTAACTTCTTAGCCAAGACTGATTTCTTAATATGCTATCAAGTGTGAGGTACATGTTATTTTAGCTGGAGAGCTTTCTGGAGATAACTATAATTTCTGGGTGGGGTGTGTTTACTTAGGGAGTATTGTAAATGGTCAGTACACCAGAGTGACACAGTATTTTGTTTATTCTGCTTGTTGATAGTAGCAGCCCCCAAATCATGTAGTATGCCCTGCTTTATTTTGGAGAAAATTAATCACATTCCAAATATACTTAAGCCGAAAAAAAGTAATCAAAATACAAATGTACTTTAGGAAATACCTCTTATTCTTCATTTTAAAGGTTTTAATTTAAGTGTGTGTGTGTGTGTGTGTGTG